TAGAGCACCAGGTCCTTCTTAATCTGTCTTAGTCTGAAAGCTCTGCTGAATCCCTTCCGCTATGGCTGACCCTGTTCATATTTGAAATACTGGTGGCATAGTTTCCATCATCACAGCAACATGCAAGCCACCAAAGTATGACAAAAACGACAGATGAGTTGTTGTCTGGTACCATCGAGTCAGTCCTAACTCACAGTGACCCTATGTATAACAGAACAAAACATTACCCAGTCACCCAGTCCTCTGCTAGCCTCACAACCCTTGCTATACCTGAGCCCATCATTGCAGCCACTGTGCCAATCCATCTCATAGAGGGTATTTCCCTTTTCGCTGACCATTCACCTTACCAAGCATAATATTCTTCTCCAGGGATCAGTCCCTCCTGAGAACATGACCTAAGTAGGTGAGACTAAGTCTGGCCATTCTCATTTCCAAGGAGCATTCCAGCTGCACTTCTTCCAGGACAGATTGTTAGTTCTTCTGGCAGTCCATGGTAATTTCAGTATTCTTTGCTAACACCAAAACTCAAAAGCATCAACTCTTCTTCAGTCTTCTTTATTCATAGTCCAGCTTTCACATTCACTGAGGCAATTGAAAACACCATGCCTTGGATTAGGCACAACTTAGTCTTCAAAGAGATATCTTTGCTCTTCAGCACTTTAAAGAGGTCTTTTGCAGCAGATTTGCCCAGTGCATTATGTTGTCTGATTCTTGACTGCTGTTTCTATTGGTGTTGAGTATGGATCCAAAGAATACGAAATCCTTGACACTTCAATCTTTTCTCCATTTATCATGATACTGCTTATTAGTCTGGTTGTGTGGATTTTTGTTTTCTTTGTGTTCAGATATAATCCATACTACAGACTGTTGTCTTTACTCTTCATCAATAAGTGCTTCAAGTCATCCTCACTTTCAGTAAGCGAGTTTGTGTCATCTGCATATTGCTGGTTGTTAATGAGTCTTTCTCCAGTCCTGAAGCTGTGTTCTTCTTCATATAGTCCACCTTCTCAGATCGTTTGCTCAGCATACAGATTGAATAAATATGATGAGAGGATACAACTCTGATGGATTCCCTTCCTGATTTTAAACCATGCAGTGGTGGCGAAGTGCCTAAGGCATTTGACTGCTAACCAGAAGGCTGGAGGCGCAAACCCACCAGCTTCTCCTTGGAAGGAAGGTTGGGCAATCTTTCCATAGTGATACCACCTCAGAAACTCAAGGAGGGGTCGCTATGAGTTGGATCCATCTCCGGAGCAGTGAGTTTAGAGTTTTATCCCCTTGTTTTGTTTGAATGACAGCTTCCTGGTTTATGTACAGTTTCCTCATAAGCAAAATGTTGTGGAATTCCCATTCTTCTCAATGTTATCCATAATGTGTCATGATCCACACAGACGAATGTTTTTGCATAGTCAATAAAACACAAATAAGTATCTTTCTGGTATTCTTTGCTTTCAACCAAAATCCATCTGACATCAGCAATGATATCCCTCATCCCATGTCCTCTTCTGAATCAGCTTGCATTTCTAAAAGTTCCTGGTTAATATATTGCTGCAATTGTTTTTGAATTATCTTTAGCAAAATCTTACTTGTGAGTGATATGAATAATATTGTTCAATTATTTCCACATTCTGTGGGATTACCTTTCTTTGAAATGCATATAAATATGAATCTCTTCCAGGCAGTAGGCCAGGTAGTTGTCTTCCAAATTTATTGGCACGGATGAGTAAGTGCCTCCAGTGTGACATCTGTTTGTTGAAATATCTCAACGGATATTCTGTCATTCCTGAAGCCTTGTTTTTCTCCAATACCTTCAGTGCAGCTTTGACTTCTTTCTTCAATATCATTTGTTCTTGGTCATGTGCCACTTGAAATAGATGAACATGGACCAATTCTTTTTGGTACAGTGACATTGTGTATTCCTTTCATCTTTTCTTGATGTTACCTGCATCAAGGTCAATATTTTGCCCATAGAATCTTTCAATATTGCAACTTGAGGCTTGAAAGTTTTCCTCATTTCTTTCAGCTTGAGAAATGCTGAGCACATTCCTCCCTATGGTTTTCTAACTCCAGGTCTTTGTACATTTCATTATAACAATTGACTTTGTCTTCTCAAGCTGCTCTCTGAAATCTGCTGTTCAGCTCTTTTATCTTGTCATTTCTTCCATTTACATTAGCTACTCTCTAAAGCTAAGACACTTGCCTGCTAACCAGACGGCTGGCGGTTCAAATCCACCAGCCACTCCTCGGAAGGAAGGTTGGGCAATCCTACTTCCGTAGTGATACTGCCTCGGAAACCCAAGAAGGGGTCGCTATGAGTCGGGGCCGACTCGACGGCACATAACAACAACAACAACAACAAAGCAAGTTTAAGAGTCTTTTCTGATATACATTTTGGTCTTTTCTTCCTTTCTTGCCTTTTTAAGGATCTTTTACTTTCTTCATTGATGATGTTCTTGATGTCCTCCCACAATTCCTAGGTTTTTGGTCATTGTTGTTCAATATGTCAAATATATTCTCCACATGGTCTCTAAATCAAGGTGGGATATAACCAAGGCCATATTTTGGCTCTTGTGGACTTGTTTTAATTGTCTTCAGCTTCAAGTTGAACTTGCATATGAGCAGTTGATGATCTGTTCCACAGTCACCTCCTGGCCTTGTTTTGGCTGAAGATACTGAGCTTCTCCATCGCCTCTTTCCACAGATGTAGTAGATCTGATTCTTGTGTATTCCATCTGGTGAAGTCCACATGTATAACCACCATTTATGTTGTTGAAAAAAAAAATGTATTTTCAATGAATAAGTCATTGGTCTTGCAAAATTCTATCATGCAATCTCCCGCATCATTTCTATCACCAAGGCCATATTTTCCAACTACTGGTGATTCTTCTTTGTTTCCAACCTTTGCATTCCAATCACCAGTAATAATCAACACATCTTGATTGCATGTGTGGTCAATTTCAGACTGCAGCAGTTGGTAAAAATCTTCAACTTCCTCATCTTTGGCTTTGGTGGTTGGTGCATAAATCTGAATAGTAGTAGTATTAACTGGTCTTCCTTGTAGGCATATGGATCACAGACAGCATTATTTTTGAATATAATAGATATTGAAACATTCTTTGTGATGATGAACACCATGCCATTTCTCTTCAATTTGTCATTCCGGGCATAGTAGATCATATGGTTGTCTGATTCAAAATGGCCAATTTCAGATCACGAATGCCTAGAATATTGATCTTTAAGTGTTCCATTTCATTTTTCACAACTTCCAATTTTCCTACATTCATACTTCATACATTCAATGTTCCCATTATTAGTGGATGATTGTAGCTATTTCTTCCCATTTTGAGTCATGGCATATCAGCAAATGCAGGTCTCGAAAGCTTTACTCCATTCACATCATTAAGGTTGACTCTACTTTGAGAAGGCAGCTCTACCCCAGTCGTATTTTGAGTTCTTTCCAACCTGAAGGGCTCATCTTCTGGCACTACAACATACAGTGTTTCAGGGCTATTTGTAAAGTTTTCCAGGGATACATCAGACAGTGTTTCACTGCTATTCATAAGGTTTTCACTGGCCAATACTTTGAGATGTGGATGGCTCCTTCCTCCTTCCAAGTCCATCTTACTCTGGAAGCTCTGCTGAAACCTGTCCACCATGGATGACCCTGCTGATATTTGAAATACTGATGGCATAGCCTCCAGCCTTATAGCAACACGTAAGCCACCATAGTAAGACAACTGACAGATGAGCAGTAGGACAGCTGAGTAGTAGTTGGGAACCTTGTAGAGCACAACTCTACTATGACACATATAAAGTCACAGTTAATTGGGATTAACTGGATGACAACTGATTTACATTCATAGCAGGTCTGGGGATGAAAGAACAAAAGCCAAGAAATTCTCCTCTAGTGTCAGTATTGTCAAGGGTTGGCTGATAAGCATGTGCAGCAGTAAATTGAACATTACAATGGTATCAAACCTGCTTTGTGTTGGCTTTTTGTTTGTCACACAAAGTATACCTAAGGGTGCTTGTTCCCCATTTCCTTTCCAGATATTAAATCCTATTCATTCTTTTAAAAGTCTCTGCTCCTCTTAGGTTCTTGTGCCCATCTTTTAGATTTGTTACTATTCTACTCAATCACTGAAGATCTTAACACTTACTGCAAGGAATCCCTCTACAGTCAAATCCAGGTGGTACCCTGGTGAGTCCACTCCTTTGGGATGACACATGATACATAGTCCTTGGACATCTTTGTCTTAAATATCATTATACCACATACTGTTTCTGTCTACTCTGTTGAATAATACAGTTAATACTACTATTGTTCATACCACTCTGTCCACAGTCATCACCTAAGTATGCAAAATTATAATGACAATAAAATAAAGAGAAAATCAACATAAAAAATTAAAAGTTAAAATGAATAAATGTGGCCATAAGAATAACTATTATGGGAGCTCTGGTGGCTTAGTGCCTAAGACATTTGACTGCTAACCAAAAGGCTGATGGTTCAAACCCACCAGCCACTCCTCAGAAGGAAGATTAGGCAATCTACTTCCATAGACATACCGCCTCAGAAACTCAAGACCTCAGAAACCCAAGAAGGCGTTGCTATGACTCAGGAAAAACTTGACAGCAGTGAGTTTGTTTCACTACTACTACTACTACTACTACTACTACTACTACTATTATTATGAACTTCTTCATCACCTGGGCCATTTCCAAGGTCCAGATTTCACCCCTTGTTCTACCATTCACAAGTCATGATGGTGTGTATATAAATGGATCCACATAAATCTACTGAAGAAGCCAACAATTAAAAATCAGCCAAAAGAGAGTGAGACCAGCTTCATCTGAAACCATAAATCTTGATCTGATCATTAAATAAAAACTATACCAAATATAAGGCCACAACTCAAGGATAACATTTGACTCATACTGAAAAAATAAACATTACCATAAGAGAAGCACAATTTTCTTCAAAGGTAAGAACAACTAACCTTTTTTTTTCAAGGGAGGCTCCTCTATTTCTCCTAAACCAAGACAAAGAGTAATAAATTAGAAAAACTTTTATAATTGAATAACATTACTTTTCTATTTTCCCATTTTTTTGTCCCTTTTAAAAGCCATTTTTGGTTGTTAAAGCATAGTCCTTATATGACTTTATTTCCCAAAGTCAAAGTCTTAAACATAGACTTTGTTTATGTATATTCTTTTGAGATAAATTCACTTTTATTAGTTCAACAAAAATATGGAAGTGATTCTAATTATACATTATAGATCATACATTATGTTCATTTCAGTTCCCTGTTGTTCATCTTGACCTCTCAACTGGTGCTAAACAAATACAAATTCAGACAAAGTTGTAGAAGTCTTTACAATACTTTCTCATACTCAAGCCTGAGCAGATAGTTTCTGATAACTAAGACTGACCCTAAAAATGTCATTTGAAGACAGGATCACAATGTTTTGTTATTTTCACAACCATTTATTGGAAGTTTATATGTGATTAGGCTTTATTACTTCTTTTTATACATTAGCTGATAAGAAAGAGTGCAAAGGTTATTTGCATAATTTTTGTGTCATTTAAAATGTGTTCTTCCATTCTACACTTCCATTTATTTCAATAAATTTACTTTGGGCTGGGATTTTAGCAGTTTCACTATCTGTTATTTGATCTTGAATATGATTTATGCATATAAAACTTTTAATGTATATTTACTGTTATGTTTTTATTGCAATATTTCTAGAGATAAACTTGACAAATAATGACATTTTTCCCCAAAAAAAGTATATAACCATAAGTTTCTATTGTGGTTCAATCTTGTTGTTGTTATGTGCCGTCAAGTCAGACCCAACTTATAGCGACCCCTCCTTGGGTTTCCAAGGCTGTATCACTACGGAGATAGACTGCCCATCCTTCCTTCTGAGGAGTAGATGGTGGGTATGCACCACCAGCCTTCTGGATAGCAGTCAAGTGCCTTAGGCACTACGCTACCAGAGCTCCTTGTGGTTTAATGTTGTTGTTGTTACGTGCCATTGAGTTGGCCCCAACTCATAGTGATCCCTCCTTGGGTTTCCGAGCCAGTATCACTACGGAAGTAGATTGCCCCATCTTCCTTCTGAGGAGTGGCTGGTGGGTTTGAACCGCCAGCCTTCTGGTTAGCAGTCAAGTGCCTTAGCCACTATGCTACCAGAGCTCCTTGTGGTTTAATAGTAGTGCATAATAAGCTCTCTTTACAATAAGATACTCTAAGGGTAGCATTTAATTTTGATACCTATGTCATAATGGCATATAAGGTGCAAGATAAAAGTTAGAGACCAATTTATTCAGTTTGGCAGCCTGTTGATAGGCTGTTAATATTTAAAAGTGCATTCATTTTGGTTTAGGCTGACCCAAGTACTCATTTATTCTTAAACGAAAGTAAGTCAATGTAATACATATTTCATGTTGATGGCGGTTGCTTTGTCACTGTATGCACTGTACCTTTGTCAGTGTCCTCGCCCTCTACATCATCTTCTTCTTCATCCTCAGATGAGATAATGTCAGACAACAAAGAAAAGAAGCCATAGATCCAGTCCGTGGTTTCCTCTACAGCATCATGTACGAATTTTAGAGGATCTGAGCCAATCTTGGAAATAGAGCTTGCTGAAAGTAATTTAAAGGAAAAGAAATGTTTTAGTCATTCCCAAAGAAACTAAGAAAAGCTGTTCTTTTTGATTTGTCCTTTTGACACAATGGACATGCCAAGTTGATGAATTTAAATATCTTTTCACTACTTTTTTTTTTTGCTAAGAAACTGAAACTAAATTACTTCTACCTTTTTTCATTTTATATATATATACTTATTTATATTCAAATAAAAAGAAATGTTATTGGAGACTTCTGATACCAAACACTACAGGAACACCAAGAAAGAAATTACCCTTTGTAAGTTTATGCTATAAGTAAGAGTTCAACACAGGGCAAGAAAGGAGTATTATCCAAATGGCAACATAAACTCATTGTCATGTATATTCTGAAATGGACAAAGTTACTGTTGGTTCATATCATATTAGACAACTTCATGGAGAAGATGTCTCTGCAAATTTTTAGACCAATGACAAATTCTTGAAGTTGACTAAAGTACCTGTGTTTGAAGTTAGGCCCATTTACTATAATTTTTAATACAAGAGGAAAAGTGTGGTTTGTCAAACTAGTGATCATTCCAAGTGCAAGCTAGATCCAATTAGATTTATTCTTGTTAGATATTCCAGTACCTGATACACACACACACAGACACACACACACATATATATATATATATACACAGACTATGTATATGTATGTGTGTATGTAAATATATATATATATATATATATATATATATATATATATGTATATATTTGTTGTTGTTAGATGCAGTCAAGTCAGCTCTGACTCATAGCAACCCTATGTACAACAGAATGAAACACTGCCTGGTCCTTTGCCAGCCTCACAGTCCTTGTGATACCTGAGCCCATCATTGCAGCCACCGCGCCAATCCATCTCATGGAGACCCTTCCACTTCTTAGCTCACCCTCCACTTTACCAAGCATAATATCCTCCTCCAGGGAATGGTCCCTTAGGTGAGACCAAGTCTGGCCATTCTCACTTCTAAGGACCATTCCAGCTACACTCCTTCCAAGACAGATTTATTCACTCTTTTGGCAGTCTGTGGTACTTCCAGTATTTTTTTGCCAACACCACAACTCAAAAGCATCAACTCTTGTTCGGTCTTTCTTGTTCATTGTCCAGCTCTCACATGCATATGAAGCGATAGAAAATATGGCTTGGGTTAAGTATACCTTAGTCTTCATGCAGACATCTTTGCTCTTCAGCACCTTAAAGAGGTCTTTTGCAGCAGATTTGCTCACTGTAATATGTCATCTGATGTCTTGAGTGCTGTTTCCATCTGTATTGATGGTGGAACCAAGTAAAATGTGTGTGTGTGTGTGTGTGTGTATGCATATATATGTTGTTGTTGTTGTTATGTGCCATCGAGTCAGCCCTGACTCAGCAACCCCTCCTTGGGTTTCTGATGCAATATCATTGTGGAAGTAGATTGCTCCATCTTCCTTCCGAGGAGTGGCTGGTGGGTTTGAACCGCCAGCCTTCTCTTCTAGTTAGCAGTCAAGTGCCTTAGGCACTATGTTACCAGAGTTCCCATGTATGTGTGTGTGTGTGTGTGTGTATATGTATATATATATATA